GTCAGAGCTCCTCGCGCACCTCCGGCGCAGCGCGCCCTGCTCCGCCCACTCCGGCGCAGCGGGAGGAGCCCGAATTCTCGCCCCCGGCTGCTCTCGATCGGGCTGGGCGGAAGCAGCCCGCGAACCGACGCAGGTCCGGGTGACAGAGCGGGCTCTCCACCGACGCGCCGAGCCACCCTCTCGGGAGGCCAAGCGGGCGGCGGTTCCACGGCCTGCGCCCACTGTGGCCAGTCGCCCGAGCCTGTCCTCGCAGCCTCCCCCTGCGCCAGCACGCGCGCGAAGAGGCTCACGTATCGCCCGCCTGAGCCTGGGTCGCGAGGTCGCGCCAGATGGAGTCGTCGATGCCCATGGCCACGATCTTCTTGCCCTCGAACCAGCGGCCGTTGAGCGCCATCTCCGCCGCCGCCCGCTGCTGAGGATTCTCATAGAGCACGTAGATGAGGCCCGTGGTGCCGCGGGGGTCCACCGTCACGTGCAAAACTCTGCCGAACTTGGTGCACTCGTCGTGGGTGTCCTCCCGGATTTCGTCGAAGAACTTGGGCTCCTTCTTGAGGTTGACCGTCGTCGGTGTAAACATGTTCTGCAGAAGCAGAGTTCGGGACAGCACCGAGCCTGGCTTCGGCGTGGGCGGCATCGCGGCCGACACCGACTCTGGCGGTGGCTGCGACGCGGCGCCAGGAACAGCGAGCCCGACCACAGTAGGTACGCCCTGCTCAGAGTGTGACGAGAGCAGCTTCTTCATGATCTCAATGCGGTTGTGCATGTTCGTCACCCCAGAGCCTGTCGCCCCGAAGTCGGTGTCCGTGAGGATGTCCATCCTGGGAACGATCTTCGGCTGGGGCTCGGGGGCCTTCGGCTGCACGACAGCCTGGATCTCGATCTGAATCTCCTGGCCAACCAGCTGAAAGCCCTGCATGGACGACATGGCATCCTGCGCGTCGCCGTGGCTCTGGAACGTGATCCAGCACTCCTGGCTGCCCATCTCAAACACCTCGAAGTCTCCAAAAGGCTTGAAGATGCCCCTCATGTCTTCCTCGGTGACGACGGGACGAAGGTTCTTGATGTGCAACTTCCGCATGTTGGGACCCGAACCCTCGCCCATGCGAGAATCTGTCTTGAGACCGCTGAGCACCTGCTGTGTGAACTGCTGCCGGGTCATCATGCGCTTCGGCGCTGGGTTCGATCGGTTGATCTGCGCGTCAGCTCTCTTGACGACAACGCTTGCGCCAAGGACTTCGTTGGCCGCCGCAGGCAGGGTGCAAGCACGCAAGACGGCTTCGTCTTCGGCGAACTCCACGAGAACGATCCCGATGAAGGCGTCGCCCTTGGAGCGAACTAGGCGCACGTCGCTCACCGTGCCGCACTTGCTGAAGTGCTTGAACATGACCATCTCGTCTGCCCCTTGCGGCACCTGAGTGACCACGATTGTCTTCTCCACCTTGTCCACCGCCCCGGTGAAACCGCCCTGAGGGATGCCCTGACCGCGCTGAGAGAAGCGACCCATCAGCCGCCGCGCTGGGGTCCGCGAGCGGCTCGCACTGCGCTTCCCGTCGTTGTTCTCCTTCTCCCGCCGCCGCTTCCGCTGCTGCCTCCGGCGCAGTGCCTTCGCGCTCTGCGTGAAGAGCTTGTCGAGCTCGAACCAGCTGATCTCGGAGAACTTCCTCTTCCCCATCGCGCCGACCCTGTGGGGGGAACCAACAGGTACCGACCCCGCTGCTCCCAAGGCGTGCCCCGGAGTGCGTTCTGACAAAGACTTCGAGGCGAATCCAGCGGTGTCGACGAGGGCATCCCTGGCATCCCGGGAGACGTAAGAAGAGTGAAATCGGGGGAAGGGTAGCGGTATGGGTACCCTTTTTCCTCCTCTGACCCCGGACCCCACCCGGTGGCACGGCACACTCGGGGAGGGTCCGCCGCGTCCAGGGGCGCCACCTGGAACCTCGAGCCAACGCGGCTGCGTACGCGCCTCAGCAGCAGGAGGAGGGGGAGGAGGAGGAGGAGGAGGAGGAGGAGGAGGAGGAGGAGGAGGAGGAGGAGGAGGAGGAGGAGGAGGAGGAGAGGGAGAAGGAGAAGATGGGATAGGGAGGGAGGAGGAGGAGAAGAGGAGGAGGTGGAGGAGGGGGTGGCCCTCCCGCGAGGCGCAGCACGGCCCTCAATCTCGAGAGCGCTCTTTGCCTCTTGGCCCGGGTCCAATCGCCTTGTCGCCGCCGGTCCAGAAATCGAAACGCTCAAGTCCTCTGGTCTCCGCCACCCCTCGCTCTTGGCTGCGCTGGCCCCGCGTCCCCGGATGCAGTTCATAATGGCAACGCCCGCGTGCCTTGTTTCTGGCCGGTTCAACTGCAGATGCCCAACGAAGCAAAAGCGTGCCCGACGACCCATCGAGATCGGAATGTTCCACCAACTGCTCTCCTTGTAGGGGCCGCGCAGGGTACGCTGGGCAGACTCCCGGCCCCGAGCCCGGCTCCGTGCAGCAAAGCCTGCGAACCGCGGAGCAGAGGTTCGAGGAGACCCCAGAGGCTCCGCCAACCTCCGCCTCAGCCCTAGGTCGCAAGTGTGCAGGGTGCACAAGCCGAGTATGAGGTTCATGAAATGACTAGTAGTGCCTTTGACGTGCTGACAAGGTGTTATGCAAGGTGCCCACAAGCGAACGCGTGGTTGGCGAACTCTGGCCCCTGGTCGATCCCTCGCCGAGGGACTCCCGTGGAGGGCCCTCTGCGAGATGGGAAAGAAAGAATCAAAGAGAGAGAGAGGGAGAGAGAGAGAGAGAGAGAACAAAAAAAAAAAAAAAAGAAAGACGAATCAGCAACAGGGATTTAGCAAGGACTCCCGAATAAGGGCTCCGCAGTGAGGAGTCCTCAGAGAGGATTTCGTTATTCAGGCCTTCTCTGTTCGGGAGCCCTTGGAAACGATCCCTTTGCTGCGGGCTCTTTATCAAGAACCCCTTAGCCAAGAATGCCGTATTGTGAACCCCTGGCGCGCGGAGCGCGCCAGGGGCGGCGCCGGAGGCGCCGCCGAGGGGCCCCAGCGCAGATCCGAGAAATCCGCGCGGACCTACGAGTTTGTATGTTTATGCCAGTTTTCGTTTCCCTACATCGCCCGGGACATCGTCGGAGAACGACCCAGGTCCCCACGCCGGGCGGTCACCCCGAACCCTCACTGACCCACCACACGGAGTTCTCGCCGCACCGCTCCATGGGCCCCCCCGAGGAACCACACCCTGACCAGAACGTGCCCTTGTCAGGGGCGAGGCCCCGCCGCGCAAGGCCAACCAGATCTCACGTGGCCGACGACAAGACACCGATATTACGCGAGATGGCGCAGCGCCCTTGCGCGCGAAGGTCGGCGCAGTCGACCCCCGTTTCCTTCCGGCGCTCGCGTGGGTCCGCGTCGGGCTTGCTGGAAGCGGGCGCGCGCTCCCCTCTGCGCCCGTGCACTCCGCCCTCCTCCGGTGGGGCCCCTGCGCGAAGGGGGGAAGGGGGGGGGGCCGCGGCGTCGGCGGGGATCCGATGCGCCCGCCCCGCGGCCCTTGCCCAGATCTCTCTCCGAGCACGCGTCTTCTTCAGCCTGGGGGTCTCTCCTCGGCTTCGGCCTCCCGGGCCCGTTCACGGCCCCCGGGACCATCAAAACTGGACTGGGGACGGAAAACGACCCCAAGGGACGGGGTCGGGGCCTCTGGGGCCGCGCATCGAACAAAACCACATCGTCGGATGCCCAGCATCATGTCGAATCGGCGAAGCGGGTCCAGGCCTCACAGAAAATCGCCGCGCCAAACGGGCTGGCCCCCAAGGCACGGGTTCTGGTCGGGCTGGCATCCTCGGGGGGCCTCGTCCGTCCCATCGCGTCGCCACTCGCGCCGGATCCGCGTCGGGTCCAGGTCGAACCCAAGTCGAATCCATGTCGAATCCGCGTCGCACCCGCGTCGAACACGGCGTCGGATACAAGGAAACAGCGGGGGGGTGAGGACAACGGGGGAGTTGAGGGGGAGGAGGGGGAGTTGAGACAACGGCAGCTCAACATCGATCCCAGACGCCTCCCAGGGTCCAAACGCACCAGTCGCCCGAGCTGCGCCCAGCCGTGGCGACCAGGGGCCACCCCCAAAATGCCAACTGCACTTGTCTCGACTGGCCTTCCTCTGAATTGACCACAAGACATATCAGAACCCCCCCCCCAAAAAATGCACTGTAAGACGTGGTGGTGAGACAGAAGTGAAGGACGGCGAGGAGGGCGGCGGCAGGAGGCGCGATTGGGGGTTCCGCTTCCCCGCACGCCATGATCGAACCGGGAGGATCAGGAGGCAGGATCAGGTGCCAAGATCGGTCAGCATCGAACCGGGATATCGACCAAATCGGAACGGGCGTCGGATCGGGCCGCATCGGCACCGAGTCGGAATCGAATCAGGTCGGCACCGCCAGGGTGCACAATAGCGCCATGCGCACATCTGGCCGTATCGGATCGTCGGAATATCGGAAGTGAATATGGTCGGGCCAGGCGAAACCGACATCGAATCGGATAGATCGGATCGAACTGGATCCTGGTTAGAGCAATTTGGGCCCTCACTTCCTCGCGCGCCGGGTCTGAACGTCGTGAGCCCACAACACAAAGCTAATTCGAAAAAGTGCGACATTTCTGGAACCCAGAACAGCACTTCACTCTTACATGCAGCTGCGGATGTGATGTGTTGCTTGATTGTGCTGCCTATCGTCGCTTTAGCTGCACTGGCCGACCCGTCGGAAGCCCAAGATTGCCCCAGAGATGACAGCCTACACATCCAAGGGGGAACTTCCCCAGAACTATTCTCATGAGCAGTACGGCCACGTGTGGCTCCATGGTGCCGGAACTAATGCTCGTGATGTATCTCGAGGAGTCATATCGAAAACGGAAGTGAGCGACGTGGCAATGCAGAGGGGACGAAGAACAGAGAGGAGACAGGATCTACAAGCGGACTCGCATTGCAGTGCTCAACGGGTACTGCGGCGGGACTTTATGCAGGCAGATCTGTCGAGTTATGTATGGAGCTCCGTGGGAAGAGGGCACGGCGGGGCACAATCGCGACGGGGCCGCACCTCAACGAATAGCAACGAGCGCTGCCTGAGGATGCACTCGCGCAACCTGGAGGGAGATTTGGATCACAAAGTGTATCCGCCACCGTGCCTGCACAGAATGGTCGCGATAGAATGCTCGTCGGTTGTCTGGGGATGTCCGAAAATTTTAAGCCCCCCCCTCGCCGCACGCGCCCCTCGGAAACCGCCACCTCTGAAGTTGCTTTCTGGCGACCCTTTCGGCCTCCAGACGGCCCAGATGGCCTCCAAGACGGCTTCCAAGACAACTAAGACGACAACAAAACAGATCAAGATGTGCCGAAGACAACACACCAGACTCTCAAGAGAGCCGCAAGACGGCTCAACAGAGCCCAAGAGGGCCTCAAGACGGCCCAAAAGGCCCCCCAAACGGCCCGCAAGAGCTCCAAGAGGCCTTCCCGGAGAGCCCAAGAGGGCCAGCACCATGGATTCCCCTCAGGCTTTTGACGGATGTTGACATTCTCGCCTGTTCGGGCTTGCGCCGACCCAAGACGGCCAAACTAGCTTCCAAGAGGTCTCCAAGATAGCTCCAAGACAAACCCAAGAGGCCCCCAAGAGAGCCCCAAGTCGGCCCAATAGGAGACAAAGATCGCCCAAGGGGCTTCCAAAGAGGGCCCCAAGACGGCAGCGAAGCGCCCCAAGAGAGCAACATACCTGCCCAGAGATGTCTCTCGGGCTGTCTTGGGCGGTCGGCAACCCAAGCATGGTAGATCCTCGAAACCCTCTTCAAACCTAAGTCACCGCTGGTTTCGGCCACCTCTAGCTCTCCTGGAGGGCCTCTTGGAGGCATCTTGGGCCGTCTTGGGGGCCTCTTGATCTGGCTTAAAGCCTTCTTGGGAGCCGCATGTTCTCCAGGACGGCGTTCAAACCAACCAAGATGACGCCAAGACAGCCCAACACGGCTCAAGAGGCCCCCAAGGCCTCAAGACATATTAAGAAGCCCCCAAGGCGGCCCAAGAGGTCTCCAAGAGGCCCTCCTGGAGAGCCCGAGGAGGCCAAAACCATTGGTCGTCCTTGAATGTCTGAAAGAATTGTGTGTCTCACCTGGTCGGGTTTCCGACCGCCCAAGACGGCCCAGGAAGCCGCCACGAAACAGTCAAGACAACTCGAAGGCAGCTCAAGGGCCCCCACAGGAGGGCCCGACGCCGGCCCAAGACGGCCCAACAGATCGCTCCAAGGGCTCCCGACAGGGCCCCAAGACGGCCGTGGACCGCGGCCTATAGAGGAGGCCCCCGCGGTGGCCTCCATAGGCGTCAGACGGGCAAAGACTTCCCCCAAGTCGGCCCAAGAAGCCCCAAGAGGACCCCAAGAGGCCCTCCTATGAGGCTCCCAGGAGGCCTCCAAGAAGCGTTCAGGAAGCTCCCAGGCCCCAAGGAACCCTCAAGAAGGCCCCAAGAAGCCTTCTCCTCCTCATCCTCATTTTCTCCCGCTCCTTCTCCTCCTCCTCCGCCTCCTCCTCCTCCTCCGCCTCCTCCTCTTCCTGCTCCAAACCGCGCGGACGAAGACGAGGTTGGGATCGCGACCCGCCCAAATGCAGACTACTCGACGGAATTGGGCTGTTCCTGCTGTGAGCCTCCTCCCTGTTGCGCTGTTACACAGAAGCGGTGGCGGGGTTTGCCGCAGGCAGCATGAGCCAATGCACGTATGCACAAGTATACGCCCACGAACGTATACATCTACAGGTACCCCTGCACAATTGTGCCTGTAATGAGTACGCACTCATACTGGAGCACGAACTACATTCATATATGCAACCCACTCTTTCTATGAACCTGGTGAGAAAAAGGAAGGGAGGGTGAGCCAGAATGGTCAAATCCAGGCGAAACGGAAGCGGCGCAAATCGTCTCAACCATCGGTCTTGAATGGCAGATGCAAGATACATTGCGCTTGGAATGGCTGGATATGTGACCCTTACATGGAGCAGACATGGAACAAACACCAGTTTGGGACGAGAGCTGGAGACACGAAAGTGCGAAGGAACACCTCGACACCTCGCTCGTGGCTGTCTCCATCTGTGAGGCCTGACGGCAGCAGGGCGGAGTGCGAATCCCGTGGCCATGGATAGGGTGCAACCTACGGTGTCTGCTTTGAAGCGTCGACCAGAGGATTGTGCATGCATGACCACATGTATATTCACACCGCCATGGACACGCCTCAGGCTCACTTGCATCCGCTATGCAAACAAAACCCCATTGTACTGTACCCGTGCACGCACTCGGCGGACGCTTGACTTTCAGACGGAAGAGGAAACGGGATGCCGCGAAACGTCGCAAATTCGACTCACGCACCCGACGGGACAACAAACAGCTAAAGAGAGACGATTTGGCTTGAGACCCGCAGCAACAGGATGCAACGGAAGCGCAGCGGGAGAAGGTACAGCGGAGGTGAAGGATAATGCCAACTATGTTGACGATGCCTGGCGATTTACTGCAGTGATGCTTGGTTCCGCACTGCGACCGAATAAGCCAGGTGACACTGGCCTGATGGGCAAACCTGCATCGATCTTGGCAATAGCCCATCTTGGCAGTGTTCAGATCGGTGTTGCCCACATTCAATAATCCCCCTCATGATTCCCCACCTTCTCCTTCTCCTCCTCTTCCTCCTCCTCCTTCTTGCTCTCCTCATCCTCTTCCCCTTCTCCTCATTATTCCCCGCCTGCTCCTTCTCCTCCTCGTCCTCCTCCTCCTCTCCTCATTATTCCCCGCCTTCTCCTTCTCCTTCTCCTCCTCTTCCTCCTCCTCCTTGCTCTCCTCGTCCTCTCCTCCTCCTATGTAGTCCTCGTCGTCCTCCTCCTCCTCGTCGTCCTCCTCCTCCTTGTCCCTCGGAGGGCGGAGCAAGGCACAAGATGGCGCCCTGCCCCTCCTACCTCCTCCACCTCCTCCTCCTCCTGTCCTCCTCCTCCTCCCCCTCCTCCTGTCCTCCTCCTGTCCTCCTCCTCCTCCTCCTCCTCCTGTCCTCCTCCTCCTCCTCTTCCTCGTCCTCCTCCTCGCCCTCCTCCTCGTCCCTCCCCTCCGCTCCCTCTCGTGCTCCTCCCCCCTCCTCGCCCCATTCCTCCCTCCTCACTCCTCCTCCCCTGCCCGACGGCAACCATCCAAGCGACGATCTCGACGGCGGCGACCGCCGGCGACCAGGCGCGCCTCCCTCGCCGCGGCGTCGCGCTCCGAGTGGCCGCCGGCGAAGAAGCGGAGCTGATGCCCCCGGGGGCAGGGCCGCGTCGCGCGCACGCCGTCGTCGCGCCAGGGCTCCTCGGCGGCCCCTCGGGGCCGGCGCTCGGCGGCCGCTCTCGCCACGGAGCAGACGGGTCCGGGTGGGGACCTCCTCCTCCTCCTCCTCCTCCTCCCTCCCCCTCCCCCTCCTCCTCCTCCTCCTCCCTCCTCCTCTTCCTCCTCCTCCTCCTCCTCCTCCTCCTCCTCCTCCTCCTCCTCCTCCTCCTCCTCCTCCTGTCCCGAGGCTTGCTGCCGTTTTTTCGGGCCCCGTCGGGAACTCTGCGGCGAGCACAGGGGCGAAGTGGGAGGGGGCAGGGCTCCTCGGAAGGCGGCGGGGCTCCTCCGAAGCATTCGCACCCTCTGGGAAGCCTTGCGAGCCTTTTTCCAAGGCGCAGTCGGCTTCTCAGACGGCGCGGAGGCCTGGGGAGACGCCCCGCCGCCTTCTGAAACCGCCCGCCCCCCGTCGCTTCCCCCCCTGAGCCCTGGGCCTCCCACTTGCAAAAAAAAAAAAAAAACACGACCCAGGACGAACAGCCGGCCCCAGGGGGGCCCGAGGGGCCCGTTGGCTTCCTGCCAGCGCTCGGCGGCCACCGGGAGGCCCTCGGCGGCCCGGGCAGCGGCGCGCAGGGTGGCGGCAGCGATGCTGCCGTCGTGTCGTCGCCGTCGCCGCCGCCGCCACCCGGGTCGAGGATCGGGTCTCCTGCATCTGCCATCGTCGTCCGTCGCCGCCGTCGCCGTCGGGGAGACATGGAGGGCCGCACCTACACGGTTGCACCGAGCGAGGCCGCTGGAACGGAGGCGGGCCGTCGGAACCACGGTGCCCGCAGGGTGCCAAAGGTGCACTCACAGACAAAGCTTGTCCACACGGCAGTCCAGCAGAGGAGCGTCTGAAGACGGCTGAGGGCCTCCGACCTTGGGCTTGGCGGTCAGTTGTGGAGACCCCTGTGGTGGCCGACGAACTATCACCGCTGTCCCTTGGTGGCGGCGACCCCCGACATCCGACGATTGTGAAAGAATCCCGACGCTGTGACCGACATCGGCGGGAGCTCCCTGCCCCATTGTTCGCTTCTCTATGTTAGTAGCAACGCTGCGACAACCATCGTCGTTCAAGAGATGCGGCAAGCTCGGAAAAGTGCGCCATCGCAACTCCGAAATACATCGGCGCGCCTATTCGCGCTCCTGCGACGCTGCGCATTCGCAAGGGCCGATGCCTGGATCGCGCAGAGCCGAAGGTAACGTGGATTTGCGCAACAACGCCGCACATGGCCCGAGCACGTGCACGCACGCAACAACTCGCAAACCGATGGGGCGGCCATGCGGGCACTGAACATCAACATAACCTTTTGGCGGTCCGCGCAGATCTCTTAGATCCGCGCTGGGCCCCCTGGGCGGCGCCTCTGGCGCCGCCCCTGGCGCGCTCCGCGGGCCACGGAGGAGAGTTCAGCGCAGATCCAAGAAATCTGCGCGGAGCGCCAAAAGTTTATGGTGTTGGCATTTATGCATTCTTCCACCCATGTGAACATCTAGGGTGGCTGACTGAACCCGAGTCTCGTAATCTCGTGCCGGCTCTCGCTGCGAGATCTGCCAGGCAAGGATCTCGCTGCCGCGACGACTGGTGCAGCCAGAATTTGGTCCATCGTGTACACGCGTGCGTGTGCACATGCATCCGTGAGCATGCATGACCCTCACGCCCTTCATGCGAAGCGCTTATTTAGATACCACATTCCGCCTGTGGCCCTGCACATATCTGGATCGAAGGTGCACGCCTAGTCACGCTCCTGCGGCGTTGCGCATTCGTGAAGGCTTGACGCAACCTGTACTGGACGGAACCAATTTTGCATGAATCAGTGACCAGAACGCGCAGACGCAATATCCCGTGCACTTCTGGGCGCCCACAAGCCGCAACGCGAACTTATAAGCTTGCTGAAAAATGCAACTGCACCCGCGGATTGTAACCTCGTGCTGGCTCTAGGTGAAGGGTCTGGCAGGCAAGAATCATGATGCGCTGATGACTGCCCCCCGCGAGATTTGATCTATCATGCACGCAAGCGAGCGTTCGCGCGCATCCGTGCTTATGTATCGTAGTTTTGCGCCTCCCCCACCTCCCCCGACTTCTTGACGTGCTGTCGATGGCTCTTACGAGGCCGGGGGCGGCTGCAGGGCGACTGGTTGCCACTGTAAAAACCCACCTCCTTCTTAGAGTACAGAGGTGGAACTGCAGAAGGGCCGCAATGTCGTCAACCGATCGGTTTGAAGAGAAATCTGGCTCTGGCTGGCGCACTGCGAGGCGGCTGCAGGCCTGAGCTTCGGCCGCGTAGCGAGGACGAGCGAGGGGAAGGGAGGACCGATGATGGAGCGGATCAAGGTAAGGTGGGGAGGGATAGCGAAAGGAGGGCAGGGGGGCCGATGAGGGGTCAAACTTTTTCCGTCAGCCAGCCTGGCCCGCGCGGAAAAGGATGGGATGCACGTGCGACGCGGACTTTCAGAACAGAGGTATGAGTCCCATTTCCGCGGTTCCGCACAACCTGGACGTTGCCGGAAACCTGGGTGCCACAATGAAGGTCCCGAGGAGTCAGGTTCACGAAGTTCCGCACTGCTCGGATGTCTCCCGTGACCTGTGTGCTCCACAGCCGCAGGCCAGTCAAGCTGGCGAGGGCCTCCACGGTCTGGATGTCGCCGGAAACCTGGGGGGCCATTGGGGTCCAGGCTAGTCAGGTTCACGAGGTTCCGCACTGCCTGGATGTCGCTCGTGGCTTCTCTGGACCCGCAGGACGGTCAAGTTGACGGGGCCCCCCACGTCCTGGATGTCGCCCAAAACCTGGGTGTAGCTGAAGTCCAGCTTGGTTAGGTCCACGAGTTTCCGCACAGCCTGGACGTCGACCGATACGTGGGTGCCGCTGAGGTTCAGACTGGTCAGGCTCACCAAGTTCCAAAAGGCCTGGATGTGGCCCGTGAGCTTGGTGTTCTGGAATCACAAATCATCCAAATTGGCGAAGGTATCCAAGGCCAGGGAGTCGCCCGACACTTGGGCATTCACAAGCCGCAGCGTGGTCAAGTCTACGAGGGCCTGCGCAGGCATAGTATCGCCTCCGACTTTGGTGAATGCGAGGCGCAGTTCGGTCGAGTCAACGAGGGTCCTCACGGTCTGGATGCAACCGGCCAGCTGCTTGTCATCACCCAAACCCAAACGAATGTGCTGCAGGTCAATGGCCAACGCCGCCCAGTCTTCCAATGGTACCCACTATCTCGCTCGTATAAAAATCCCGTGACCTCGCGGGACCGCGGTCCCGCACGTGCTTCATAATGTCCGCTGCTTCAGGGCCGCCCAATCCCATGCTCGGAATTTCCAGCACATTTGCGTCGCCAATGACGGCAAAAAGCGCGTAGCGATATCGGTGGGTAGCGATATCGCCCCTGTCGCCCCCGTTTGTGAAGACCTTTTTTGTTGTTGGGGGGTTCTGGATCGTTTCGTTGAGCACCTCGGGGAGTGACTGGTACTGCGCGACGCCGATCACAAAATCCGAGTGACAGCTGCGAGTAATCACCGCCTGCTGTCCCCAATGGTGTGCGCACCTGCTCGTCGATAGGCAACAGCGCATGCGGGCCCGACCGAAACGATGCCTGCGATGCACCTTCCGAAAGTAGGCCAACTTGCACCAACAATCTATTACCACATCCAGTGCCGGCGGGGATTCCCCCCGACAGTTCCCTGGGCAGCAGGACTGATTGCCTCCATGACGTGGATGTGCGAAGCGACCGGGACGGTTAGGCCACAGGGCCCGCAAGACGTGGCCGAGCAGGAGCCCCATCGTCCACATTCCAAGCGGTGGTCCCCAGCAGCGGAGTGGCATGCCTGCGTACACCACGACCGCAGCTGTTCAGAGTCGCGGGGCCTGACGACTTCGGCAAACCCTTCGAACGGCCTCTTTTTGCCATGGATGTGCCGCGGTGTCATCTGCCCCGCGCCCGCGACGCCGCGGACCATCTCGGGGGGCGCCCAACGAGCCAGAACGCAGCCAGCGGTGGACATGGGAAAAAAAAGGATGACCCCCCAAGAAAGATCCATATCCAGTCCTGCGGCAAGAAACCCCCAGAAGCGGCGATGGCCTGCGAGCCCCCAGAACGGTGCCCGCAACGCCGTAATATGCACATCCAGACCCTGGTCTGAACCCTCAAGCGGGTGGCTCGGAAGCCAGGGCTAAAGGCCTCAACGTAGAACGCGACCGCACAGGGCAACATACATGTGTTGTACTATGTGCCATCGCTACCGTTTGCAACACCAGGTTGTTGCTCTCGCTTCCTCATGCGATAACGTCGACTTGACATGCATCCACGGCCCAATCGCAGTTGAAGGCGGTGCCGTGCGACATCTGTTCTAATACGCATATGTGATAATAACTTATGTGGTGGATCCACCTACGGAACACCCTGCCTCCAAAAATGGGGTCAATGGCGGTAGCGGTCAAGTATCAGCGGCGAAAGGACTTGCAACTAGAAGGGAGGCACGCCAACCTCCATTTGATCGTGTCAGCGTGCACGTGCCAACTGTTTACCTGCCCCAACGTTCGGTTGAAGACAACCGTGTCCTCGTTGGTGCGGATTCCGTCGGGTTTCTTCTGCAGTGTGCCCATCCAATCGATGAACACCCCTTCGGGCCAGCCATCACCACTGCCGATGCACCAACCCTGCTTCTTCAATGTTTGCACACTGCATGTCGCACTGGCTCCAGGATAGTTATTATGTGTTCTCTTGGCGGAACGAAGCGACCCGAAGCCAGCCGTGTCCTCGTCGATGCGGATTCCGTCGAGTTTCTTCTGCCGTGTGCTCATCCAATCGATGAACACCCCTTCGGGCCAGCCATCACCACTGCCGATGCACCAGCCCTGCTCCAATGTTTGTACAATGCATGTCGCACTGGCTCCTGGATAGTTAGTCTGTGTTTTCTTGGCGGAACGAAGCGACCCAACAACGAAAAAAACAGATATGGCAAAAGCTCTTCAGGTGATATCCGTGTGGATCGGGATAGCCCCTTGAGATCCAACGGTAGCTGATATCAATGATCCCAAGGCAGTCCCAGCCTATCTCTCTCCGTCCACATAGAAGACCCAACAGTCAGGAACGTTTTGACACTTCTGCATTCGCAATCCATGGGTGTGCAAGCGGAGGAGGTACTCGGGTTTACTGAGTTGAACGTCCTTGGGTCGCAAGATACATGTCAAACGTTTTTTATTGCTGCATCTGACGTCCATCGCGCGTAAAGATGGGTGGTGGGGCTCGCTGTCGGTCGACCGAAGCCAAGTTGATCAGACACGCCCCCATGGCAACAACAGGAAATAACCCGTCAGATTGCTTGACACTGCGGATTGGACCAGTGGCTGCGGAAGCCCCCCACTCCATCTGTATGCCCGATCTCTCGAGCCAGACCAATCCCTGATAGTCCCAAAGCCCACGAAGATCGAACCAGAGAGGCGAATCTGAGTGGAACTGTCAACTTGTAGGTCAATGGATCCTGCAGGCAAACGAAACAGCCTTAGGAAGCATGTGACATCCACAGCAAACCACCAAAATACCTCCCAGATCCTCCCCCTCCTACTCCTCCATCTTGGACGGATGCGACGAAGACCCGACGCAACAAGTCTAGCAGCGGTATTCGAAAGCCTTGCTTCCTCAGCGCCTTCCATCAAGTGCACTGGCATGCGAAGGAGCCTGCCTCAAAACCCGATCACGGCGCTTCGAGCCTGCCCTGAACGCCCTCGAAAAGAAAGTGCTGCCGGCGAACCACAAACAGCTCTGCAGGACGCATCCAGAAAGAACCTCGCGTGGCCACACCCGCCCTCCCGGCCCAAACATTGGACTTGCGGCCCATCAAGAAGCAACGTCATGCTCCACGGCTCGAACCCGACGTCTCGCGCGTAGCACCACCCCGTGCCATTGGCGCTGCTGAGTCTCAGGAAGCTCTGGGAAGCAGCGAGCCGAAGAGCTCGCTCAGGACTGGGCCACCCGCATCCCGAGCAAGCGCTCCGGATCTGTCCAGGCAAAATCCTGGGGTGGGTCCCTGGCCTTCGCTCCCGTCAGCGGGAAAAAAAACGCCTCTGCTGCTGGAATGGGCCGCATGGTCGTTGGGAGAGGGCGGGGAGGAGGAGGAGGAGGAGGAGGAGGAGGAGGAGGAGGAGGAGGAGGAGGAGGAGGATGAGGGAGAGTGCAAGTTACTTGAGGTGGAGTCCATTCGCGCTCGGCACTAGCAGCGGCAAGCCGTCCGAAACTATGAAGATGTAGTCGCTGAGGCCCTCGATGTCGACGGGGCCGAAGCTGAAGAGGAGCTCGTCGAACCCGCTGACGAAGCCGACGTTGAGGAAGGACACCGAAGTGGCGACGCTGTCCGCGCGGCGCGGCGGCGCCCTGGAAGCCGCCGGCGACCCCAGCAGCTGGGAAGGCACCACCCGCTGGCGTGCTGAGTTGGGCGTTGCTCCATGGGGGGGGGCGAGCCAGGGGGGGGGCGGGGGAGAAGCGAGCTCCTCTCGTGCCCATTTGTGGGCCTCCAGTGGGGCCCCTTTCGGGCACGAGAGGGGGAGAAGGAGGAGGAGGAGGAGGAGGAGGAGGAGGAGGAGGAGGAGGTGCACCTTTTCTTCACACCCCAATGTTGTTGCCCCCTCCCTACGCAACGCCAGACTTCAGACCGCCTCAGAGGCACGGGGGGAGGTATGCCAGGTCGCTCGAGAGCCCCTCTGCAGTCGCACCAGACGGTGTCAGCAGTGGAGTTCTCGAGGCGCCCTATCGCCAGGGGGCGCCCAAGGGTCATCACTCGGCCCAGTGATGATTCCTGCCGGATTGGCCGCGGCCACGGCCTGAGCAACCCGGCGCAGCTCAGCAGCACGATATGGAAGGCGATCTGGCCGAGCCGAGGAAGAGGAAGAGGAGGAAGAGGAGGAGGACAAAGGAGGAAGAGGAGGAAGAGGAGGAGGAAGAGGAAGAGGAGGAGGAGGAAGAGGAGGAAGAGGAAGAGGAGGAAAAGGAACGAGGAAGAGGAGGAGGAGGAGGAGGAAGAGGAGGGGCAAGAAGAACATCTGCGGGCAGAAGGCCATATGCGCTATACGCTTCCGTCATCGGAAACGTCTATCCCGAGGCAGCAGGGAAGTTTAGAGCACGACGTGACAGAGCAGGGATCCCAGCTTCCCTGCTGCCCCCCAGGAACAGGAATCCCCGATGGCTCTTCTTATGCTGTTCTTTGGCCGCCGAGGAGGAAGAGCAAGGAGAGGAGAGAAGGAGTAAGGGGGAGGAGAAGCAAAAGACGCCAGCCGGAACACCCGAACATCCGACGTATCGTTTTTCACGGCGTGGCTCCCCAAGGGTTTGGACCTCTCCATGAGGGCTGGCTTTTCGTCCCCAGTCGCTTGTTGACAGTCCATTTTGCAACGCAGTTGCAGGGCATCGTATGCCTTCGGAAGCAACTCCTGGGAGGTCTTCGTCAGAACGACTCAAGGCTACAATACCGAGTAAGGGACCATTGGGCCAGAGTAGCCAGATCGAGCCCGCGATTGAACCGGATGAAGCAAGGTGAAATCGGATTGAACGGGATTGAGCCAGATTGGACTGGATGAAACTGGATTAAGCAAATATGATCCCAATTTTTGATCAGGGACTCCCTCCAATACGGTGTAACGTGTTATTTGTTCGGCGGCCTTATTGAAGGACTGGGGTCCCCCCAGTAGGGAGTGACTAATTATTTGTTTCCGCGGCACCCGCCCCGCAACAAGGAGGAGTGGGGGGAGGACGAGGAGGAGGAGGAGCAGGAGCAGGAGGAAGAGGAGGAGGGGGAGATGGGGGAAGAGGAGGAAGAGGTTTCAGGACCAGTCCTGTTCACCGCCGAGTGAAAAGAGGGGGGGGAATCGGAGCTAACGCCCTCCTGAGGTTATACCAGCGCTGGTCCTGCAGTGAACCTCCCAAGAGATTGAAGGGGAACTGGGACGCACTAAGAAACAGACACAAATAAAAGGATTCCCGACATTTCCCCATATTTTCTGGGTGTATGTCTTCCCCCCACTTCCCATATTTTCCAATATTTTTCTGGGGATCGACGATGGATTGTGTCTGTTTTTTTTTCCCCCCCCTCTTAAGAGATGCGGCACCGGTGTGCCAAGCCAGCCCTCGACAGGCGCTGGCCCCCCCCTCTCGGCGCACGGCCCTGCCGCTGCCCGGGCACGGCGGGGGCGCGGGCAGGCTGAAGGGGCCCTGGGACACACAAGTAAATACACACGAATAAACAGACTCCCCATATTTCCCATATTTTTGGAGCTTCTGTCTTGCCCCCCGCTTCCCATGTTTTCCTATATTTTCCTTGGGATCGTCGGTTCATGGTGTCTGTGTGTTTCTTTCCCTCATGACAGGCGTCGAGCTCCGGCCCCGCCTGCGTGGCGACGTTCAGGTCGCCGCCGGTGTCGGGCATGCTGAGCCTGCCGTCAGGGATCTTTCGCGGCCGCGGTGGTGCTCACGGGGTGGGTGGGCGAGAGACGACGAAACGGTATGCAGTACAGCCGGGCCTGGGCCAGAATAGCGCCCTTCAAGAACATGGGACCCTCTGCCGGCCGAGGCACAGAGAACATCCAAGGGCACCGCCGCCGCAGCGTGCACTTTTGGGTCTGCGGGTCGAGAGCGGGCCTCTTCCTGTTGAGAGCTGGGCGGGGCGCGCAAAACACGAATTGGGGAGACAGGGCGCGGGCGGGCGGGGCCTCAGGCGGCCGGAGGGCGTGGGGTGCAGGCCGTGCCGAAGAGCTGGAGCAGGAAAAGGTACGCCCTGGACAGGAGCCGGAGGCGGAGTCCCGGAGGGAGGCCACAACATGCACAAGAACGTGCAACAAACCCGGAGAGCATCAGGGCACCCTCCCCGAACCGATCTCGATGTTTCCACCTCGGTCCGACGGCATACCATGGAATTCTGGCCAGGAGCTTCCAGAAGTCCGTGCGGGTGGGATCTCCTGGATCGGCGCT